GATACTGATGATACTGATACTTATACTGATACTTATACTGATACTGAGACTGATGATACTGACACTGATGATGCTAATACTGATGATACTGATACTGATTATACTGATACTGATGATACTGATACTGATGATTCTGATACTGATGATACTGAAACTGATACTGAATATACTGAAACTGATACTGATGATACTGATACTGATAGTGATACTGATACAGATACTGATACTGATGATACTGATAATAATTCTGATAATGATACTGATACTGATGATACTGATAATGATACTGATACTGATGATACTGATAATGATACTGATACTGATGATACTGATAATGATACTGATACTGATGATACCGATACTGATGATACTGATACTGATGATACTGATACTGATGATACTGAAACTGATGATACTGATACTGACGATACTGATACTGATGATACTGATACTGATGATACTGAAACTGATGATACTGATCCTGAAACTGATGATACTGATACTGAAACTGATGATACTGATACTGAAACTGATGATACTGATACTGAAAATGATGATACTGATACTGAAAATGATGATACTGATACTGACGATCCTAATTGATGATACTGATACTGATATTGAAACTGATGATACTGATACAGATGATACTGAAACTGATGATACTGATACTGATAATGTTACTGATACTGATCCTGAAGATACTGATACTGATGATCCTGATACTGATACTGATGATACTGATTCTACAGGGCTCGCACCTTTTCTGGCATTTAGATTCTTAATGACCTACACCGCATCCCGGTCAAGGTCGATCTTCTTGGCGCGGAGAATACCCTGGATATAATGTGACACACAGGTCCAATTGTCCTCACCCTCCGTCATAATCGGTATGACCGTGTCCATCCTATACTAACTGTTGAGCCTCCAAGCGGGGCCTTTCCCAGCGCTGGCAGTGGAAAAATGTATGTTCCACGTCATCGAGAATGCCTGGGCATTATATGCAGTCGGGTGACACGGCTTTGCCCATCCTGAACAGGTACGACCGGAAAAAGCCGTGTCCCGCCAGAAATTGGGTGAGGTAGAAGTCCACCTCTCCGTGCCGCCGATCCACCCAAGGTTGGACTTGATACATCAGTCGCCTGGTCCAGAGTCCCCGTGTCTCCTGTTCCCAGCCCTCCTGCCACAGCTGGTAGGTGCGGGTGCGTTCCTCTGTTCGTGCCTCGTCCTCCCCACGGCGCCGGTGATACTGATACTGATATTGATACTGATACTGATGATACTGATACTGACGATACTGATACTGATGATACTGATACTGATGACACTGATACTGATACTGATACTACGAAAAACACGGGGGCATGCAATAAATAATAAAAGTTCAATAGTTATTTATTTTTAGTTTAAGATAATTGTAAATTAGATATTGCATGCGTCATGCATTTTTAGTTTTACATCTTACAAGTATTTATTCTCTTTACATATTTTTTTTCCATTTATAAATTATTTAGTGAAATATCTGTAGTTTATAAACAAAGAATTGGTCCTCTACTGTTCAAGGGAACGTACATTATAATCGATGATTTATTTTCGATAAATTGATTTTTTTATTCCATAATATATGGATATTGACAAATTGAAACATATCAGCAGACGACTACGATAAAAAATATTGTCCGGTATCAACAAACATTAAAAAAATATTGGAATAAAACTGTTCTAAACTAACCTAGCTTAACAAAACTTGCTGTAAAATTTCAAAATTCCGTTTGATTTAAGTTGGTAACTTAAACTTAGCCTACAGCAAATTTGTTTAGTTGGTATGTTGGGTTAGTTTGAAATATAGTTTCATTTCTTAATCCAAATAGGCAGTTCTCAATTCGTAGTTTAAATGCGTTTGAATAAATGAAACAGAAGCGAAGGAATATGGATAGTAAAGGAAGCCCAAAATATCGATAAATCGTAACGTAATCATCGATAACCATGAATGTTCCCTTTAGAAAGAAAGTACCCAAAAACGTGACTGCAGATAGACATACATTACATTATATAACTTATGCCTAATGCCTATTCTTATTAAGAAATTTGGCAACATTCTTGGACTCTAAAGTTCTAGTGGTGGCTTACTACGGACTGGTTTTTCCTTGTCTTTCATATGCAGTTGCAGTTTGGGGACATGAGTGTGTAAATTCTAAAAGAGTTTTTAAACTACAAAAGAAAGCTATCAGAACAGTTTTTAAGAAGCGACGTAGATTTTCCTGTAAAACACTTTTTGCTAACTATAAAATTCTTACTTTTCCGTCAATCTATATCTTAAACTGTCTCGTATTTGTTAAGAAAAATATCAACCTTTTTCAAAATCAGTCTCGCCCTATCTCCTATGGTTTGAGAAGCCGGTCCGATTTGGACATTCCAAAGCACAAAACTGTGCGTTTTTTTGAAAATCATTTATTTTACATTGGCATTTAACCGTTCAATGCACTGCCCGCTCCCCTGAAGATGGAAAATAGTGTGGACAAATTTGGCAAAGGGGTTAAGAGTCTTCTTTTGTCACGCTGTTGTTACAGTGTAGAAGACTTTTTAAGAAATCAATGATATTTAGTTTTTAGATTTTATTTATAAGAAATATTGTTTTTATTTGTTAGAGAAATTTTGTTGACCACTTTTCAAAATTGCACCAAATTTAAAATTGTAACTTCAGCACAGTTAAATTTTCTCTGTGTTTTGAAAAAACCTAAATAAACCCGTACATTTTTTTTACAATATTACATTTTATGTTTTTCTATACACAATCTTTTTAATGTAATGTGTTTTTAGTTCTTTGACTGTCCTTATAAATAGTGGCCTACCAAGTAAAAACACTACTAAAATGGTTACTACAACAAATAACCAACGATTTTAGTACCCATATTTATACAAACTTGTATTGTATTTTAAGAGTAAACAGCTCCAAGTATACACTCTTAGTTCAACCTCCGTTAATTAATTTTATCTGTTTTAGAATTGTATTCTACATGTTATCTTGTTAAGACTATTTTTAAAATAAATTATAGCTTTTGAATTCTTAAATAAACTTTTTATGATAAAGGAATGCTTATTTTCTGCTGTCTTAAACAAATTTTGGCTTATGTAAAATGTATTTTTTCTATTAATATAATAATAAAATAATTAATAAGATACTAGTCAATAACTTTTGAAAACTAAATTTTTGCTATTACATTTATAGAAAAAATTATGATGATTAAATTTAGCTAAGGTTGAAGATATTTGATACATTCACAAGAATAATTCTTTGCTAAATTCAACAATGAGATTGTAACGGGTATGATCAGATTTTTCTTATTTACTAGAATCAAAAATCAAAATACCTCTTTACTATATGAATGACTGATAGCGCGCTCTACTATGCGACTTAATTCAAAACTCGGCCACTGGGGGTCAGCACTCTACGGGGCAAAACGTCTAGTGGACGAGTCCAAAGCCTGGGTACGGGGGAGTAGCGTATGGGGTGAGAGACTAAAGACCTAAGAGAAGGAGAAGACAGATGAGAGGAGCTTGGTGTTGAGTGAGGGTGTACAGAGTTAGTCACTGGATGTTAGTTTAATTTGGATCATCAGGACAGGCTAGTTAGTGACGTGTTGCCCTGTGCTAACTATTTTCTCAATAAATACTCATTACTCAACACAACTTGTCTTATTACTGCTACCGGTCTTGACAACTACGAGGGTGTGGTAAAGGTAGTCGTGAAGCCGAGGAACAAGATGGCGATAGGCCTACAGGTCGACTGAACTGTACTGGACTACAACGACGGAAATCGAGGAGCAAGATGATGACACCGGTGATACAGGTGACCGATTGAATTGGACCACAACTACAACGACAGGTGATTGACTGAACTGGACTACAACTTCAACGACGGAGATCGAGTAAAGACGAAGTACTGTAACCTACGTAGCGACGCGACGAAGCGCCAGGGGACTAAGGGAGTCGTCCGACCGGAGCTTCGACGCAGGAAGCGGCATTAAGCTAAGTGTTAAATTATAAGAATTCAATAGATTAATAAGAATTAGGCCTACATAACATAATAAATAAATAATAATAAAAAGACACCGTTACAAGATTTAGTGCACATTGGTAGCAGTTAGCAAATCAGCTACAAAGATTTCCTGTAATTATTTAACAAACATTCTTTTCGTATTTATATTCAATATTCAGTGCATATTTACAGTAAATTATCATTGCAAGTCATCTTCGTACATGTCATTTAAATGCGAAGCAGAAGGATTCCCTGTAAATATTTGACAAACATTATTTTCTAATCTGAGAAATAAACCCAGAGCATAATTGCAGCAAGTACTCTTTGCAAGTCATGTACAAAGATTACTTGCAAGTGTTTTACAAGCATTCTTTGCTAGCCCGAGAAAAACATTTAGTGCATGTTTGCAGCAAGATATTTTTGCAAGTAATCTGCATTCATTCCCTGCAAGTGTTTAACAAGCATTCTTTGGTAGCTTGATAAAAACATTCATTGTATGTTTGCAGCACGGTATCTTTGCAGGTCATCTGCAATCATTCCCTGCAAGTGATTCAAAAGTATTCTTTGCAACCTTGCTTCAAACACAAGGCGAAACTTTTCAGAAAGTCTGAGATGGGGTTACTTTTATACTTGCAGCAAACGTGTTACAAATGAAAATGTTTGCAATGCATAGTTGCTGCAACCATCTTGGGTTGCCTCTGAAAGTTTATTATGAACTAACTGAAAGCTTTCTCTACTATCTGGGCTGGTATAATAGTTTATCTATACATAAAATATTTTGGGGGGGTCACGACCCCCCCCCTGGGACCGCCCTTATGCAAGTCAACCTATACTACAATACTAGAATTCACATTGTATGGTAAAATCCACATCAGAATCTGTTTTGATTGTATACAAACAATTTGATAATAAAACCTCCTAAACTATAGCTAAACACTAGTCATATGTTGAAAGTACTTGCTTTCCCTGTGTGTGCCTTCGACTGCAATAAACACATGCCTCTTGTGCTGCACCATCTCCCTGAAGTAGCTGGATATGTTTGGACAGTGGTAGTGAAACAGTCTCATCAGATATTCAACCTTCGGCATGCTCCTGCACTGAGCACACAAGTATTACAGTTGTAAACAGAAATAGGTGTTTCAGCCAGAGCCAATTCACACAATTACAATTTGTTATCAATTAATTTTTCACACAGCTGGTGCTATTGTCTACTGTTAAGACTTAAGAGCATGGGATTTTTGTCCTATGGTGGTTCAAGTTCAAGCGCACCAGTCATAACTCGAATCCTGGATCCTGAGTGTCATTAAATTAATTATTAAATAATTATACTGAGATCATGAAAGGTTGTGTATTTCTATTTTAACAAAAACTCAATCAAAATATCAAACAATAACACAAAACATATGTTGAACAATTACCATATGTTATTAACATATTAACTACTACTGTCATCCCTCCTTCACAAGTCAAAATGATTTGGTTTTCTTCTAATCCTTTCCCCTCGTCTTACAACAGGAGCTGAGTCATTGTTTTGTAATTCTGGCCTGGACGATTGACCTTTATTAACATCATGGGAGATTCTGAATGACTTGTCTCTTCTTAGGAACCATGAGTTTCTTCGGTATTCTCGTCCATCACCAGTCTGGATTTTGTACGATCGAGGTTCAGGACCAACTTGAACAATCTTTGCTCTCAGCCAACACTTTGGTTTGAATCTGAAAAGCACTGGTTCATCGAGTTGAAACTGATCAGGCTCTGTCTTCCTCATATCACCGTATAGCTTCTCTCGTCTTTTAATTTTTTCTAGCTGTTTTGAAACATTTTTTATGACCATCGGAATAAGGTGGTTGGTCGTAGATGGAAGTAGAGTCTTTGTCCTCCTACTCATCAGCCGCTGAACTGGGGAACCTAGGTTACCTCTTGGTGTGTTACGGTGATGAAGAAGTGCAAGATAAATATCGGACTGTTCTTCTTGACACTTGACAATTAAGTTTTTTCCTTCTTGGACATACCTCTCCGCTAGCCCGTTGGATCTTGGAAAATGAGGAGATGAAATTCTATGATTAAATTTCCATTCGGATACGAATTTAGTAAATTCCATAGAAGCAAAACATGGTCCTCCATCAGTTCTTAGTTCATCTGGAATACCATGAGTTGCAAAGTACTTTTTTAGGTGTGTAATAACAGTGATGCTACTTTTGTTCCTAAGATTTTCACACTCAAAATATCCTGAGTAACTATCAGCAACTACTAAGAAGTCTTTACCTCCACATTCAAAAACATCAGCTCCGATGAACTGCCATGGCCTCACTGGTACTGTTTCTTGAAGGATCACATCTTGAGGTTTATCTCGTTGATATTTGCTGCATACATTGCACCTTGCTACATATTGTTCAATATCTTTTTCCATATTAATCCAATATACATAGTCACGTGCTGTATTAATTGAACTTTGAACACATTTGTGAGGACGGTGAATATTCTGTAACACTTCAAGTTTCATTTCATCAGGTATAATCAAACGGCTTCCTTTAAACAAAAGACCATCATAGCAACTTAGTTCTTCTCGGAAAGTGAAATATTTTACTAATTCCTTGTCAACAGTGCTTCTTTCTTCGGGCCATCCATTCAAGATCATTTCCTTCAATTTAGAAAGCTCTGTGCATTTTCCAACACTAGTTCTGATTCGAGAAACTGTATCAGAAGACATAGGAATTATCAACTGAATATCAAAGTTGTGAGGTTCATCATCTTGGTTGTCATTGTAGCAATCTCTACTCAAGGTGTCAGCCAGATGAAGCTCACAACCCCTCTTATAGACAACTCTTGGTCGATACGGTAATATTTCCAAACACATTCTTTGCATTCTGGGAGGAGCGTCAGACAACGGTTTCTTAAAGATAGCCTCTAAAGGCTTATGATCTGATTCAATAATCAACTCCTTGCATCCCCATACATACTCATGAAACCTTTTGCAAGCAGTCAGTATTGCGAATGTCTCTTTTTCAAGTTGACTGTAGTTCTGTTGCGATTGAGTCAATGCTTTTGAATTATAAGCTACGGGCTGCCCAGATTGTAACATAACAGCACCTACTGCATAACTGCTTGAATCCACAGATAGAGTCACAGGAGAGTTAGGGTCATAGTAACGAAGCACGGGAGTTCTTTGCAGTTTTTGCTTTAACTTGTTGAATGCTTCTCGTTGTGGTGTATCCCAGAACCAGGCCACATTTTTCTCAGTGAGAACTCTTAGAGGTTGAGTATCAACCGAAACATCTGGTATAAACTTTGACAAGTATGTTATACAACCTAAAAATCTCTGAAGCTCAGACAAACATGTGGGTTCCTTCATTCTTGAAATGGCTGCTACTTTGTCAGGATCAGCTTGTAACCCTTGGTCTGAAACTATGTGACCAAGAAATTTCACCAACGGTTTGGCAAATATACACTTTTCTTTGTTAAGTGTAAGTCCTGATTCACTCAGCTTTGTCATTACTTCATTCGTGATCTTTTGCAAATCTCTTTCATTGTTACTGTGAATGAGTATATCATCCATTGAACACTCTACATTCTTAATTCCTTTGAGCAAGTCTGACATAATATACTGGAACACTTCAGGGGCCGATACCAAACCAAAGGGCATGCGTAAACAAGAGTAGCGCCCCCAAGGTGTTGAAAAGGTTAGTAGTTTGGATGTTCTCTTCGTAACTTTTATCTGCCAGAACCCTTTTTTACAGTCTAGGATGGTGAATAAAGTAGAACCATTCAATCTAGCTGCGATGTCCTCTAATGTAGCCAATGGGTAATGTCTACGCTTTACATTTTTGTTTAGATCAGTTGGGTCAATGCAAAGACGTATTTTGTCTCTTTGTTGCACTATGACCATAGGAGACACACAAGGAGTAGGCTCACTTACTGGAATAATAATCTTGTCTTTTACCATTTGGTCAAGTTCTGCTTTCACTGCGTCACGTATTGGATGAGGTATTCGCCTGGGTGGGTGTATTTTGAAACTAGGATTTTCCACAAGATCAATGTCATACTCAAATGACTTTAAACATCCTATTCCATCATATAAGCCACTTATAGACTGATCAACTATACCAGCAATCCGTTTGACGAACCCTAGTGTTTCACATGATACTCTTCCTAATATTGATTGATGCCCATTTGGAACTATTACAAACAAGACAGTGTCTTTATGAGACTTTTTGGTTACAACTGGACAAATGGCTTCACCCAAAACTGGCGTTTTTTGGTTGTTAAAAGAAACAAGGCATTTAGTAGCAGAAGGTACAATGTTAAGATTACAAGCTAGAGCCAAATCTTGGGAAATAACATTGCACTGAGCCCCAGTATCTAATTTAAACTGCACAGTTTTGTTATTTGGCAATTTTAAGGGTTCTGTCCAATCTTGATTCTTGACTGGGTTAGAGATGCAATCAACATGCAACGGATAATCAGAATCTTCATTCTCTACAACCTCTAAAACATCAGTATTTTTACTCTTACTAAGGAGATTCTTTCGAGTTTTACACATCTTAGCAAAATGACCTTTAGTCAAGCATTGATTGCAAGTTCGATTAAAAGCTGGACATTGGCCTCTAGAGTGTTGTAAACCACAACGTTTACAGTCAAAGACTGAATTTTGTAACTTAGGCCTAGAAAAGGAATCATCCCTCTTTACGACATTAACATTTTTAGGGCTGTCAGAGGATATTTCTGCTAGTTGTTTCTTAGCTTGTTCATGTGCCCTACACTTACTAATCGCATCATCTAGGGTAAGGTTATCAGTAGAAAGTAACTTTTCCTTTAAGCTAGAATCTGATATGCCTATTACTATTCTATCTCTTATCAAACTGTTTTTTAGCTGCTCAAAATTACAAGAATTAGCTTGGTTAACCAATTTTGTAAAAAAATCTTCAAAACTTTGATGGGTTTCTTGGGTGATTTTGTTGAACAAAAATCGCTCAAATACTTCATTAGATTTACTAACAAAAAACTTATCAAATCGTTGAACAACTTCATCCAATTCAATATCTTCATCATCAATGAAACCAAAACTGTTATATATATCTATAACATCTGGGCCTAAACTAGACATAAATGATGCTAGCTGTACTGCATTTGATCTCCTATCAAGGCCAGAAGCTGTGTAGTACCAGTTCCACTGTTGCTTCCATTTCTTCCAAGAAGGAGCCATCTGAGTAACTTACTTGAAACCACAAGACATTTTGGTGGTTTTACATTACTATCCTTGTCTTCTGTATGGTTTGAATGGATATCATCATCTTCCTTAAAGGCATACCTTTTATTTCTATTCCGTATGGGTTTCGGCACCATGTCATTAAATTAATTATTAAATAATTATACTGAGATCATGAAAGGTTGTGTATTTCTATTTTAACAAAAACTCAATCAAAATATCAAACAATAACACAAAACATATGTTGAACAATTACCATATGTTATTAACATATTAACTACTACTGTCACTGAGAAAATGGAACACCCAGGTTGGATTAAGTTTAGCATCTAGCTTAAGAGATCAAAATTGCATTGGTGAATGACTTTTAGCTTTGTGATAATGGTGGGGGACGATCGGGCGTTGGGAACGGGTGTTTATGTGGGCTTTTAAGGGGTAAAAACTGGTTCTTCCCATTTTTTGAATTTTGTCAGTATAGCATGCATACTGGAATGGAAAAGAGTCCAATCTGGCCGAAGAAACACAAAACCTTACAAAATATAAAAACAATTAAAATCAGAGTCACTAACAGCATTCTCAACTATGAACCACACAAGTCCTTAAACGCATAGTCAGGCCTACTTAAAATACTTAAGTTGGTTTGTTGACAAAAATAACAAGTGCAACTTACCGGTTCAGAGTAAAAAACATCAAATGCATCTTGTAAGTCTAGGCATCCTCCGTAGTTTCTGTATGTTTCAATGTCTGAAAATGAATCTAAACTGAATAACAAAAAGGTTACAAAATCTGTTAACTATTATTGTGTGTTTAATTAAAAACCAGACACTTATCCTGGTCAAGATGTTGCATGAAAATAGTGATTTTCACACATAAGAAATATTGTTTATTGTTATTGCTCTTCTATTGATTTTGGTAAAAAAAACCTATTGGTACCTTAGGTAGAAAAAAAAATTGTATTTAGTACTTTCTGTATTTAAACTATTATTAAAACACTAGTGTAAAAGGTTGTTAAAAATACTTTATTTACAAAAAATTCCTAAGAATGTTTTTGGAATATTAGAAATTAGTGTTCTTGAATTGTGGTGAAAACAGAAGCCCACAAAAAGATTATTATCCATACTTGTATATTGTTATATCATGTTGTGTATACTACGAAAATACCTCACTCTGTAATTTAATTTCTGTTTATTACCATTCTAGGTCTTGATATCAGATATCATACTTTATCCTTATATATTCTGTAACGCAAAAGCATTGATATTAAATACTGGAGCAGACTTTGAACATTCTATCCATGTAAGTAGACCAGTTGTAGCCAGTTTTTTCCCAAAGATATATTTTTTCAACATATTTTAACGAGACTGACATACTGTAGAGTGCTTATTGAGGTTATTTTTCAGTTCTAGTTTTTCGTTATGATAATTAATTAGGACATATTAGACCCACAAGACCAGCAGATAATAACTATAAAAAATTGAAAATCATATACTGACCTTGGGCATGTTGATCTTGACTGGAAATGAAGGGCACAAAAGTGAAGGTGAAGAAAAATGATTTGAAAACAAACATGAGTAGCCAGATGAGGTGCACTGGACTGACATCATATCAGATCTCGTGCTATCAGATAAGTAAGAGTGAACATTAACAATGAACATTTACAATAGACTGAGTTAAGGTGGCTGATAAGAAATTAGACAGTTCATTTTAAATTATGAGTAGCATTACAATTTTTTGAAGACTATTAGGGTCTAGTGAGAAAGCCCAAGCTGAAGTATAATAGGAAAAGTGTTTTTAAGATAATGCACGTGGATTATTTAACTTTTTAGGTTGGAAGTTTAAATTTTTAAATGTTTATTGAACTTGCAGAACTATTATATTAAATCATATTTGTAAAAAATATTACAGAAAGAGAGGATTTAGAGGATTCAGGATGTTTTTGAACTGGAAAAGGTAAATTAATAAAAATAAGAGTTAACAAATATTTTTAATGCTTGTCCAAACACATTTGTAAACTTGTGCTAATTTAACATTCAAAATTAAAATATAAATTGGTAAAAACAATTAAAAAAAAAAAATTATAGAAGTATTATAAAGTAGTTTTTGAAATGAGTCAATGTATTAGTGGCTATTTTTAATACTTTAGTCTGTGTATTATAATTATTCTGCTTCTTCATACAGGGTTTTATTTAAAAATGAGTCTTTGATCTATTGATGTCTATCTTAATATTTTAAGCATATTGTATAATGTCATGGAGTCATATAAAAAATCTTACCATCTTTTAAATTAAAGTATCAAGTTTTTTTACTTGTAAACTGCTTGTCGTGGAAATAAACAAATAAATGAAAGGAAATCAGCAAATCACATAGAAATATGCCATCTCGTTTCCAAAAAATTCCCTTAGCTTTTTTGTCAATATAGGATATCAGCATGAACTTGTCTTAAATTCTTTAAACAACATTTAGTAGTTTTACAGGATCGTCCCTAGAAATATTACGTGTACTGAAGTGTATTACAGTTTCCATTATCTGAATTACAAATTTTGAGGTGTTAGTACGAATGGCTAGTTTTGAAAACACTCCGATAACATATTCTGGCAACACTTCATCTGGTGAAACTGTACTGAAATCAATTTCCAACGATCTTCCCCCAACCTCAGCCTGAGAAACTGGATCTTCATTTAATGTTGCGATTCTCCAAACTTCTTCCGTTGATGTAGTATCGTCAAAGAGAAAAGTTCCATTGATTGAGGAAGATGGACTAATTGGGTCCATGGCTGGTTTTGTCACATTTTCCCCTGGATTAGTAGTTATACCATCGACGCTTGAACAGTTGCAGGGTACATCACCTGTAGAATATTGTGAAACTGAAGTTACTGTATTATCCTCGTAATCAGAAGTATTTTGTTCTATAGTCGTAAAATTATAACCAGAATTCTCTGAAGTTAACGAAGGAGTTTCAAAAGTTGGTTTATCTGTTGTGAATGTGATTACTGTCTGGTCTATTGAAAATTTGAATTCAAAACACAAAATGTAAACAGGAATGATAATGACTATCAGCACAAATGTGAACAGTTTCATCACAACTGGGGCATCTTTAACCAATTGAAGACAAGACTTTTTACCTTGTATATCTTTGTCGCCAAAATGAGACTCACATCCCCCACGCATATCTAGAGGCACAGCTTTTTCACAATCGTAGCTCTTACCTTGATCACAATCAAACACTTTTCCACACTTAAAAGAATTTCTTTTCTGACCATCAATCAATTCTCCTTTACACCCATTTACAACGTCGGGATGTACATGAAACGGTTGCTTCTTGTCTGACTGAACTTCATCATATATAACCATTTTGGGGAATTTAATGGTTTCATAAATGTTATGTTCTGATCCTCCGTAGATGTAGTAAACTGATGGAGAGTAATTTCTACAGGATTCCATAGAACTCATCTTTCGCTCCATTAAGTTGACGAGTTGCAACTGTTAACGGGAAAGTGAATGGTGTGGTGACAACAGATGGTCATGCTGAGTTTATCAGAGATAACAAAACATCATCTATTATAGAACATTATTGATGTTGATTGAGTACAATGAAATCGAGAGAGAGTGGTTTATCGTCGATTGAGAGTACAAGAGTACAAGTCCATTAAATGTGGACAGATTGTATCGTATATATTAAAGGAAATGGACAGTTCAAACTTCTTGAGATGCTAGTATGGAAATAGAAATCCAAAAATCTCTTTGCAGCTAGCAATCCAAAATGCCAAATACAGTTACTAGAATTTTTGCAAAACTTTTTCGCATTGGTGTTTTTCAAACTTGATTTAATTCTTTTAAGAGTTTTCAGCAATCAAAATATACAGGATACTACGTGCAAGTAAAAGAGTCTTCAAGGATAAATAACTAGACTTGTACCTATCCATATTGGCAAAGTAGTATATTTACAAATATTCAAACCACACTTTTTACAATTCTTCTTATACTGTACAGCTAATAAAACTTTAACATTGGTTTTATAACCAAGCATCATAACACAACGGAAAAGTTAAACTATTTGGCCCAAAGCAGTAGTACCAACTGCGGAACTAATCTGTACCCTTATGCGGTTTCAGTACATTGGATCTGGTCCCTAGTCTGTTGCGTTGGCAGTGCAGCCAATAGACCAAACCATAATTTCCCTTCCTTATAAAGTGCATTTTAAAATATATACAACACAAAAGATTGTTAAATTTTTGTTTTCAATTTAGAATCTAAGTTCACATTTTCTTTGTAAATACATTGATTGCTTGAAGAGGGATCATTATAAATCTTTTTAAGGTATCGGTTAGGTGAGTTTTTTAACTGACAAAAAAAGTTAAACGTGAATTAATCATAATTTTTTTGAGAAACAAAAACATATGTAACTACAAAAAGCAAATCTCATGTTTGACCTGAACTAATCTGTAGCAAACATGTTTTTAGAATTTTCAACAAAATAAAAGTTAAAATTGCAGTAAATAAAAAAGGGAGAGGTGGTCTTAAATTGGGGCGAGAATTTACTCTCAGACTGATAGATTTAGAGATAAGTTTTGGAATGTTAATAGCTAACAAGATGGTCGCAACAAACATAATCTTGCATCGCAAATTTGGTCTTTTACAAACAGAAAACTTACAATTACAACTCAATGCAAACTCTCGATAAGCATTGCGGGGAAGACTCTATGTAAGTACAGAACTGAATCTACTTATGACTTTGATAAATGTTCAAAATAAAAAAGCTGCTTTTGAGATCACTTAATTTTAAATTACTCTCAAAATCGGATTGAAAAACTAAAAATATACATTTTATCAAATAAAAAGATTGAAACCTATATACTATTGGTGTATTTTTTTACAAATTTCAATCTCTAATTAAATACAAAATTAAATTTTTATTTTATAAAAATTCAAAATAATTACATAAACAAAAATTTTAAGACACTAGTTACAGAATGTTCAACACCTTAAAATAAAACAACACATTACTGAGGACTGGAATAAGTACAGTTCAAACCAAAAACATTGGTTCAGAGAGCTGATGAATCCTTGGCGAAAATTCAACACAAGGGTTATCAAAGATTTGGTAAAAATTCAGCAAAGAATCAAAGTAGAATTTCTAACCACTTTTAAAGCTAGGATCATTTCACTATTTCTAAACAGCTCTGACGCTATACAATGTAAAAGACCACTTGGGACAATAATAAGTTACTTGTAAGCGTAAAATATATACACGATTTTACAGGATTGAAACGTAACAATTCTATAGAGAGTCTTTAAAAGGACACCACAAATCTCTAACGTGGCACAAAGGCACTTCACACCGTGGGAAAGCTATGAGTCGGCTAACACAGTTCTAAACGACATTTGTGAGAAAAATTAACAATATTGACAATTGATCAAAAGTATAAATTGATTTTTAAAATTACATATTTCCTTACTATCACCTAATACCCAAACAATTTTTAAATAATTATAACAAGGATAGGTAATAATTTTTCAGGTATAAACAAGAAAAAGAACATAATCATTTTAATTTGTGTATAAAATAAACAATAATAATCAACTCGGATATAAAAATATGAAGATCAAATAAAATCAACAGACTCATTAAAAACAAACTGCAATAACATTGCATAAGTATTGATTTCTAACTAGTAAATTCCACCACACAAATAGCCAATCCTGTTTTATTGGGATTAAATATTGGCTAGTTAGTAGTCACCTACTTGGTTTTACCAGCGCTATATTGAGAGCAAGTAAAATATTTTGCATTCTTGACTAGAAATATCTGAAGGTATAAAATAAAATTAAGTACAAAAATAGGTTATTAACAAATTGACAAAAACAAAGAGAGAGTTTGTTACAATTTGCTGTTCAAGATATATTGTTGACAAAGGAATAATTTAATTACATAAACCAAAAATAAGCCAGCAATTTTTAATTGGAGGAAACCATCTTTTTAAAAGGTAAATTTGATAAACTACATTTTCAATCCTTTAAGGAACACTTAGATAATTATAACAAACTCCATAGGTGATTTATCTAGAATTTGATAAGGAACTCTTCTAAGAGAAAATAAATATATTTATATATATGAAAAACTGTTAATTTGAGAAAAACAATTGTTACAGTGATAACTCTTTGTCAAACTCACAACCATATTATGAAATGCCATGTTATGAAATTGGGGGGGGGGGGGGTAGTTTGATGGTGGCTTTCCCATAATCATCGCTCATTTCTAAGATATTATAAATCCTAAATAACAAGGCGCAAATGGTTTCAGATTTTAAATACACTATTAGATCGATTTACACAAAACATTTACACAGAGTCCATTTAGAATTTCATAGAACATTTTATTAATGTATTCTTTAGCAAATAAAAACAAAATTTGTTGAGATAAATAACAATTCAAAGTTGCTCTACCTTCAAACTATTTAACATATGTAACGAGCGCTCTTACTGTCTATCACAAAACTAGACATTTCATCCCCATGTTAATTTTGTCACCAATTTTAGAATAAAAACGGACGCAATTAAATTGACCTACCGACAGAATGGGCTGAATTAGTTATTTAATTACTGATTTCTGTTGACTACACCAACTTTTAACCAATTGAAACTGATTTGATGACATATTGTGAGCTACACAATCTTCTATGCCTCGTCAACTATCACAAAAACAAAAATGAATGCAGAAAACAAAATCTTGAGTTAACACACTAAGTGAGTGCTCAACTTATGATCTTTTTCAATAAAAATAGGATACACTAAGTCCATATAGATGGGATGTCTACTTCAGTATCATAAAGTCAATGGTATCACCAACTGTGAAATTTGTCTAGGTACCATTATGGCAATTTTATGGTAAAGGTAGGATAGAAGAATCAAACTTTTTCTCAAATGACACTTCCTAACTCTAAGACCCATAGCTTTCCCGCCTCGGCCTCCGTCTCGGCGGTTACGTGGCAAAGTCCACTCGGTCCCAGCCCAGGTCCAGCATTCGGAAGTCTGGGTCGTCCAAGGTGTTGAAGACGTCAAAGGGGTCCGACAAGAGTTCCTCGTGGTGATGACTGGTGGAAGGTGACGATAACGGAGGATCTATCAGATTCTCCAGCCAATCCGTGTCTACGTCCATCAGTTCAGACGACGGCAGGTTGTCTCCAAGGTCCATGCCCTCTAGAGGTTCCATGTCCAGCCCCAGCTCTCGTAGGTCTAGTCCTGGAGGGTACGGGTCCTGGGCAGCTGACGGAGGCAACTCTCCGTTCTTGATGAGGATGTCTAAAACGTCGTCGACAATCTGGCTCTTCACGCCTTTGATGTCATCCACTTCCTGTAACATCAGTGAATAAAAATACTGGACATGGTCATGGTGAATAATCCACATGGTCATTAGGAAAAAAAGGTAATTGAAAAAGCAAGACCAATTGATTTGGAAATGTGAGTAGAAGAAAAAGAGATGATCCTTAGGAAAATACAGTTGATCGTTATAGAAAGGAGGCCAAGGAGAACTGCATAAAACAAGGTGGATGAATGAGGTGGAGATGGATGTAGATTACGGAAGAGTGAATTGGTGTAGGTAAAGAGATAGGAGATAGTACAAGTTATAGAGACCTAGAATGTATCAACCCACTTACAAATCAGTCAACTAGAACATGCAGAAAAATACTATTGTCTTGCACAAAAATCTCACCCTAAGTTAGGAATATGTCTTTCACATTCCTATTGAAATAAATTGATTGTGATATTTTTAACAAACAGACTACTAAGCACTCTGTGTTCACCATACTCAACAACTGAACTCAAAATTTTCACAATTAACCAAACGAGGTAAGGAATAAGCAGAGGAAAGTGATTTGACAATTCAACATTTATCAACATAGAAAATTGTGTTTGAAAAGTTTTGATGGTGGCACTGACCTGTTTGACCTTGAGCAGTTTGGTGGCGTCGTGGTAGAGAGGGGGAAGCAATGTGGGGAGGGAGTTGATGTCTGGCTTCTCCTCTTGAGGCTGTTGTATCTGCAATGACATTGTCTGCTCAGGGACGATCGTCTGCGCAGGAACTGTCTGAACGAACGTTCCCACAAAGTTTGGCAGAGACGACGTCCTGACAATGTAAAGAGATAGAGTGAAAATCATGGAACAGAAAATAAATAATTTCTAGTGGCAATACAAGTTTTGATTTTGTCGTAACTTAATGGATGATTTAGTTTGTTGGCAAAGGAATTTATCAGAGAAAATTACAATCCGGTACCTTGTTGATGCACAAAAAAAATAAACGCAACATTTAAAATTCCGTTTTAGTATAGGATCTCTTCAGAAAATTTGTTGGCAAGGTATCGAAGGTTTTGTTATGTGTATTCTATCATACATCTATATATAATTTTCTTAGGTGAACAAGCTGAACTCTACGATTTGTTTTTCTGTGGCTAGGATCATTTTATTACTAAGCCAATGATATTAGGGCCTGTTTGTGATCATCTGTACAACTTGAATAAGACTATTAGTCAAAGAGCCAAATGTGAACACTAAAAAAATCATTGGAGAAGGGAAGGGGCAGACTCTGAATCTAGACACGCCAACCATAGCATATTTTGCATAAAAAAGTCTTTTTAGTTATTTTCTTCTTTTAAGTTTTTAATCCATCTGTAATGTATCCAAATAAATCCTAATTATGCAGGACTAGCCACTTTGGAAGATAATTTTTTTCTTTTGCCATGTAATGCAGCCAAAACACCACTCACCTTTGATTGCTGGGTTTCATGTTGATCACCAAAGGCTGCGCGTGTGCAACCAGTCCGTTAGTTCTACTCTGCTTATTACTGTTGTTGTTGTTGTTGTTTATGTTGTTGTTATTGTTGTTGTTGCTGATTATGCTGATCAGCTGTTGAGGCTGCAGCTGTGTCTGTTGTTGCTGTTGTTGTTGTTGTTGCTGCTGCTGCTGCTGCTGCAGTAACAGCTGGTTCAGTTGTTGTTGTTGAAGGAACGCTGCCAAGTTAGCCTTAGCATTTAGTGACTGCTGTGGCTGAAACATGGACATGCATTCTTTAATTTTTACTAAAGACTATGAAAGACTAAAAAGTAAAAAAATAAACATGGTAAAACTTGCCAGGTAAACATTTCTTCAAATATTCATATTAAAATATCAATTATCAATTATCAATTATCAATTATCAATCATTAAGATGGGGACGCCACTTAGGTGCGTATTTTAACCCAAATATGAGTGAAGGATGAGTGTAGAATGGTGTGAGATGATCTGTGTAGCTTTGTTACTGACTAAGATCAGCTGTTTCATTTTTGTGATACACAGCAGGAATAGTATTCATTCTTTAACCAACAAAAAAGACAATTTCCTAAATAATTTGCCTAGTAAGTTACACAGGTTTAATACTACTTGTCAATTTGATGTGACCTAGCCAAACTGACAATAACTTTTATGCAAAGGTTTTTAAAACTGTGCAAGTTTAAGCCAACAACTTGATGTTGTGTTGTTGTGATGATGTTGTGAGGGTCAGTCCAGTTCCTCAAATCAGCTGTTCTGACCATTCAGAGTTGAACATCTGTATTGGGCTTAATCTACCAATAGAATATTGGAGGAAATAATGAAATATTTGAAAGTGAATTGAGTAGAATTGAATATGGGAAATGAGAATTCCCAGGGCTACTATAGTCCTCGCCACCCTAAGTTGAGGCAGCCCAAGGCCGCACGGCGTATATCTAGTGCGGCCTTTGGCTGCCTCAACTTAGGGTGGCGAGGACTATAAAGAGTGAAATGAAGTGGTAAAGTAGAGACCATTTGGAGTGGTGGTTGAAGGCAGCTTAAGAGGGACAGAGGAATTAAACTAAGATGGTACATGAGGAGAGAAAAGACCTAGAAAAATTGGTTTGATAGTGATTGAACAAGTTGGATGGATGAGGTGCAGATTGTTGTAGAGAAGAGAGGTGAGAAATCACAGATAGTGGAAATGATGAACTGTATCTACTCATTTAAACTTGTAATGACCCGCACATATATTGAATGTAACATCATTACCGGTGTTTTGTGCTCTGTTCTATTTTTCTCACCTGGAATGTACTCTGTTGCGACTGCGACTGTTGCAGTTGTAGTTGCGACCGCAGCAGTTGTCTCTGTAGTTGCTCTATCCTCCGCTTCTGTTCTCGTATGATCTCCTCACTGGCCTCTGTCTGTGTCTCCATGGCGACGGGGGCCGGAGCGGGAGTGGCAGGACTGGCAGGGGTAGGTGGGGCCGAGTAACAGTCCTCCTCCGCAGAGGGAGGTGACACATTACACACTACAGGAAACAAACCACGATTTAGCACAAGTACTCTTAGTGTAGTCAAGTTATAAAAACTGTTTCAATACCTAAAATTAATTTATAAATCTTTAAATATGGAATAAAATGAAAGACCATTAACTGTACAGTTATAGCCCTCAAATACTTGTGTACATTGTTCAGATTCCATCTTCATTGCCATTTTTATGTTTGTTATTAGAAAGAATTAAGAAACAGTAACTTCTTCTGTGTGAACCTAATATGAGTTAGTGTTGTCAATAAAATTACACCTAAATTATAAAATATTGAATTAGTAGGGCTTGAATAGTAACAGTTTTTATGAATGCCTATTATTTTTTAAATTTGTTTATATCCAATTCGGTATACCTGATACAATAAGCGTCTTGTCTGTAGCACTTTTTTCACCCATCCATTATGTACCATTACGATTTAGGTGACACTTTAAGTTTAAAGATTAGGATCTAGCGGATGTGCGGATGGCAAGGAAAAAGATAATGATCCTAATCAGTGCTCGATTTGTAAAAAATAAAGTGCAGGAACTGTAACCTATTTAATGCCATTTAGAACCTATTTATGCCAATATTTTTATCTTTCTAAAAGAGAGGTATTGGAACTCCATTCCGCCGGGTTCCTCCCAAATCGAGCACTGATCCTGAGTTGAATTTTTAACCCCAGTCAGATTGTAAACAAGATTTCAACAGTTCATGGAAATTAATTAAAATAAACTTTTTTTATTGATGAGTGTAACCTGATTAAGGTAAATCACTCTTAATGGTATAGCGATCTACAATCAACAAATTTCTAAATATTATTCTAAAATTGTACTTTTATTTATTTGAAAACTGTTTTCAACAAACCTTCATATTATTTTTATTTCATAATAAAATGTGCAATTTCCGCACAGGACTCCTCATGTATTCTTATTACCAAAAGAGAATTATTGCATACCGTACTATTCATAATTCAAACTGAGTAAATAAGATGAATCGTAAAAATACAATGAGATCCAATAATACATCACGGCATATTTACTATATTCAGCATGGAAACCCTACAATTTCAACTTTCCGTTGTGTTGGTCTTACTCACCGGACAGCAGTGAGTCGCTGTCGTGGGAGCCGACGTCGCTGTAAGACTTGAGCCTCTCTATCAGCTGCGGCTTGGACCCTGAGACAGGTAGATTGCGTCGCTTTAGTTCTGCCTTGAGATCACTCACTGCAAGCAACGACCACTCCACTTTACATTGCACACCACAACCACGTCACTTACCTGTCCACTCCCCCTCCTCACCATCACTCAGGCCGAGACTGTCGAAACTGTTAGTTTGTTTGTAAGTTAGTGTTTTCTGTTTGTTGTTTAAGTGATAGTTAGTTTAACAATTTGCTATTAAATTTAGTTTTAATTGCTTACTGGTTAAATTTGAAGTTAATTTTTATTCTTTTGCAAATGGCTGGTCAAAGATGGAATGCTTATTAATTTATTACTTTCTCCCCCTATATATGGATATATCCAATTTGGGTCCATCTGCACCCAAAAAAAGGTGGTATTGCAACTTTTGTGATTTTTTACTACAAAGTTACTACCACCGCATACTCATGATAAAGGTTGTTGACAAGCTTATGAGAGAAAGTATGTGTCAGATTGCTGATACCGTTTATTGCCTTTGGGATTGTTGTATGTTAAAAACAGGTTATGAATCTTTTCATTGTAAATCAAATGTTAATGACTGCAGATGACCAGTTTTATTGGTTCATCGGTTCATATTTTAAATCAAATTGTCAAACTCATGACACTGAATATTTGTTTTCATCATACTGTTCGGTAATTACCAATTTTGTAGTTCTCTAAATCATCCGCAAAATCCTCGTTTTCGAATAACTTTAAATAGGGAACAGAAAATAACAAACGATAAATTTTTCGGTTCGCTAACCTCAAATTTTTTTTAAAAACACTACTAATTATATGGTATTGTAAATTATGTTTTTAAACAGAATGTAAACATTGATGATGACTTTGTATAACCTCAAATTTTGTGGTCCAATTTTGTAACGATTATAAGGTTATTTCCACATTATGATGAAAATAGTGGTTCATCACATGGAGCAAAAGTGTATTTTTGGTACTTATTGTAAAACACAATTGCGTACCAAATAGAGCTATTTTCGCTCCTAGTAATGAAAACTACTATTGAAAAATACATCAAATTTAAAATATAATCGACTCTTTTTTTATTGCATAGACTTGATTTCTTTGATCAAGATGAGAGTCTATATTAATAGTAAAAAATACTGTATTTTGAAAATACATGAAATTTTAAATATAAATAACTCGCTGTTTTCTATTGCATGTGGACTTGTTTTCTTTGATCAAGACGTAAGTCCATTAATAGTACTGTATTTTGACGTTTATGTTCATTTTAAACAATGTACCAGACAGTTTTAAAAAATTGTTAAAACTTATTCAACCTTAGAGCAATGATGGCCTGAAATTAGTCTGTATTAATTTATATTCAATATTTAATATTTAACATATTCCTGAAACAATACTTATCTCCTGGATGGCAAGGCTCTACTCGTGTGTGTATGACTCTGAGTTACTAATTAATTAAAGAAAAGACAACATTTACAACTGTTATTAACAACCATTCAAAAATTCATACAAAACAGTCACAAAAGGTTGTTAGTTCACAGTTATCTTAAAAAAAACTGTCACGTTTAGACATTTTGCTACACAAACAAAAACAAATGTTATTTGAATAGATCAATCTCAACGCTTCATGTATATACACTTAACAAACAGAATTGTAAAAATTAAAAAAAAACTAAAATGCACTGACAATGTTTGTAAAATTATATTTTTTTCAGTTTATCCTTAAATGTTATGTTTATCATAGTTAGTTCAATTTAAAAAATGTTGGATATAATACAATTTAAAATAAAATCTTGGTAAAACTTTGGTAACTTAAAATTAAACTTTGTAATTACACTACATCAGAAAAGTAGCAACAGCATTATCTATGAGCACCTGAATTCAATAAGGTACTTTGAATTTTTGATGAATTTATATTTGTTTCTATTTATTAGGAAATGAAAGTTTTCCTTTAGAAGCATATTCATCCATGCTCAATGTACTTCCACATACCACATAGTAAACCTTGTGTAAAATAACTGATCCTTTTATCAAAATGTAATAAAAAATCAGTTTTGCTATGTATAATTGATTTCCTTCAGGGAGACAAATCCTAGACCAAAAGCGTGATTTTAGATTAATATTTTAAACAGCTAGATTTTAAATCACATTTCCTTGACCTTTAACAGAATTTCAAAAACATCTACATTTAAATCTTTGCTATAAATTTAACAAATGAGTGAATACCCCATAGGGACCTGGGGCGGATCCCTAAGTGAGCCAAAAGCGAGTTTGTCTATTTGCTCCTATTTTAATATGAAAATACTTCTCCTGGAGTTAAATAATATTAAAAATCTTTAAAATGAGTAGCAAGAATGTCCATGATACCTTTCATGTCCTCCAAGTTCCTGAGGGGCCTGGTGTCAGGTTGTGGAGGCATTGGCGGGGGAGGCGGGGCCGTCGTCACGGTGATCAGGTTCTGTGACTGCTCTGGGGACTTCTGCGCTGCGGGCAGAATGATCTGCGGGTACTGCAACAGAAAACCATCATCAACACTGTGAGGCAACAGACACACTTCAGGTCTGGTGTGTAGTAAAAGCCTAAGGTCACAAGTAGTAAAAGGGTTTGGCAAACCACAGGAAAGATCAAAAGTCATCACTTGAGGATCTTGACAGATTACAGGAACAATCAGGGGGTCAAGGTTTTCGGAAGAAGTACTACATCGTATCAACAACGGGGACAATGAATGCAGGAAATATGGGGAGTCTGAGGAGGCTGTAGACCCTTTATGACTTCACAGCTTCAAGGTAAAAGGCAGACCCTCAGGCAAACATAGACAGGATGCAGCAGTTCATTAAGTAACCCAAGTTTGACAGGCGCTGAGCCTCTGAGGCTCTAAATGGGAGTGCAAAAATCCCACTTGTCGCCACATGTGGACTCAAAAGAAACACATAAACAACATTTTAGTTTTTATTTAACACAACAATATTTAATTTATTTATTTATATTTTGGTAGGCAACATGAAGTATTATGGGTACTAGATGTGGTACATGGTACATGACATTGACTTTGAGCTCTACTCCATGGCTCTTGAGGATTTCATTATTGATCAATGACCAAAACCTGATTTGAATCAATTACAGAATGTTACTTTAGCACCATGAATTCAAAGTTTATACCAAATTTTAATTTTATTCCATATTTGAATCCCTTTGCAAAACCTGGCCAAGGTAAAAAACTCTTAATAATAAGTCTTGGGTATTTTGTATTACAGACAACTCCTTACCGTACAAGATGTGTTTTTTTTTTATCATTTCACCATTGATATTATTCCTCTAAGATGTATAAGTGTTTGCTAATGAGAGACATACTTTTGAGCAGGAACCTTGGGAGTTTAAAGCGAAAGTGAAATGAAACATAAAAATGGAAGCAGAGATGAGTGACGGGTTGGCATGACGGTGAGATAATTACTGGGACAGTCCAATATTGACCCAGCCTTGTGGCAGAAATGGGACAACAGAAAAACACTGTTACTTTTGGCTGGGCTGAATCTAACGAGACACAACAAAAGGACTACTTTGTTGTTCTTTACACTTTCAACTTTTGGATCTAATTGTCAAAGAATTGTTTTTAATTGAGAGGTGTCACTGAAAATATAAGTTAAAAGAGATTAAAGTGTACCTTATGTTGCCATTCTAGCTGCCACTGCAGAAACAGCTGTTGCTGCTGTAGTAACAACTCATACGACGTTTCCACGTTTGAGGCATTTAATGCAGAGTTTTTCTGAGCATTTGGTGGACCCTGTAAAATGAAATATAATGTTTAATGTTAAATACTGATGACGGTATGTCCAAAACAGCTAATTGAAGGAATTTTCTTGGGTCAAAAGCCTTATTGACAAAATGGAATGGATTTTTTTCATATGAAAGTTTTCTCTTACATAAGTAAATTTAAGACTATAACAACATCTTTGAAAAGTTTAGCCACACTTAAAACTCAGTAGCTGAGGTTTTAATAGCGAAAAATGGTTTGAAGCACTATTCTCACAGGTCAAAACTGTATTCAACTGTCCTTGATCATTGAACTTTTGATGAGTTATCTTGGCTGGAATCAGCTGGTTTTGGTACTGACTCTTTCACATAATCCGCTCTACACTCATCTCTCTTTCATGTTTACGTCAAATTTGTGTGTGTTGTTAGCTTAGTGGTAAATATCTTGGAGGTTAGTGCGACGTGTAGGATCATACCCTAGCATATCCATTCAAGGCGAAAATGGTTCAGATCACTATTCACAAAAGACTTTGCGATTCTCCTATATAAAATGTCACTGGCACAACAAAAAGTTAAAAAGCCTGTATCATGATGCTGGCACGTGGTATAGCATTCCAGTAAAACCACAAACTCATCAGCAAAACTAGGTACACATACCGTGAGAAAGAAATCCTTACCTTATACTCATGGAATTTTATCGTCCGCGTCTTAGGCTGGGTTTTCGTCTTGCTCTTCTTCCTGTTCTTATCTTTGCCGGGGGCGGGGCTGGCGAGGCTGACGGTGGGCTGAGGTGTCCGGGAGGTGGTGGGGGTGATGGACGATGTGGAGGGGGGAGAACTGATGGAGGAGAGAGGAGAGAGGGATGACAGTGAGAGGGAAGGTGAGGGTGCAGTGGTCAGTAGCGTACCAGGGGTGACCACTACAGTGACTATGCCAGCCTGTGCTGCCGCTGTCTCCAGCACATCCCTGGTACAGGAGGGGGGCTCTGCAGGCGACTGAGCACCTTCAGACGACTGACTGTCATCGTCCAGCGTCATGTAGTGGTCTGGGTGTGTCGGCTTGGTCTTGCCCTCACACGTCGCCTTGAACTCTATATGACCCTCTGCAACAGCAAAAGAGATTACAGTGTTGGAATGTCAATGTTCAGAAGTGTTAAACTTAACATGATATATTGGACTCTATATAAGTCTCTAGAAAGGATAAGAGGTTCCAGTGTTGGAATGTCAATGTTCTAATGACTTTGTGTAAAAGAATGTTTTAGATTACTTTAAGATTCTTTTGTTTGACGATCTCCCATAAAAAGTTACAGACTTCATGGAAAATGTATCAATGAAAGTTAGGGGATGACTACAAAACTGACGCAATGCATGACTAAAAAGTTGGGTCTATATTATTTTCCTGCTGTCTTTGTTGGATCAAGTTTTGTTAAAATTTCCCAACAGTTATACTTATTGACATTACTTTGTACTATGATCTGAACGTAAGGTACAACATTTTCATATTAATGCTTTGTTTCCCATAAAATTGATCATATTACAATGTGGGTTTAGGATATGTTTTATGGTCATCCTTATAACAATGATTCCTAAAAGTACTTTGGATGGATGCATTATAAAATCAGTCTTCATGAATTTTAACTAATAATGGGTTTCCAAACCTGTTATTAACATTATAAATTGCTTATATTGACAAGGGGGTCCTCAGACTCCTGGTTTAATGTAGAGTAATCTACCTTTGACAGCACGTTCGATGGGCTCCTCCGTGTGCAGAATATTCTTCTTGATGAGCTCCAGAGGTCCGGGTCGGTGGCTGAGCTGGTCATTGAGGGAGTCAGCCAACTTACACTTCTTGAGCATTCTCTGTCTCTCGGCCAGTGAGGGGTCCACATGGCCCACGTCTGAAAACAATGTAACTCAGTGAGAAAAACTATCATTTGGCGGCTAAACTTTACCTAAAGAGGGAAAATAATGTACAGAGACAAAGAAAAATCTTCATTAGGCTTTTCTAGCTAGTGTTGTTCACTGTTTTCTGACATCAACCACGTTGTCAATCTCAAACTGATAACATCGTTGATGCTGAAATTTCTATGGATTCCAAGTAAAATCTCCTTCAGCAGCAAACTACAATTTAATGACCAACACAATTATGAGTTCAGCATTCCCTGGCTGGTTTTCATACAGTATATTTTGTATAATAATGACTGATAACTAAGTCATTATCTTCAAGCTATCCTAAGGAAATGTTTATCTGAACCCATTTTGTTGTTAACCTATATTTAAAGATATATTTTAGAATAGTTTAAGGTTGGATTGGGAGTGTGCCCTTACATAAGACAAACGATATACCACTGACATTTGCAGAATAAATATTTGTATGTAATATGTTAAGGTTGTTCTGACATAGGTTTTGGAACACTTGGTTGGTCAAGTGGTAAAAGAAACAACTTGAAGGACTTCCCTGTGGCTCTCGTTCTATTTTGCCAATTATCCATGGCAACTTACAGTCTAGTCTGGAGGTTCTTGTTACATCCACAAACTACACCACTAATCCTTAGGCAACTAATCACTTGACAAATTTCCAACTCATATATACTCCTGAAGCCTAAAAAATATCACTTTGAGTTAGAAGAGTCTCTCTAATGCCTTGCACCTATTCGTAATATCCTCCACAAAAAGCCCTGTGAATTTTCTTCTACTCACCCTCCAGTATATGTTGCCGTACCAGCTCGTCCCGGCCCGGCCTCTGCTGTATCTTGGCCTTGAGCAGGTCACCCATCTTGGCCCGCTCCAACTTCTGCCGCTGTTCATGGAATGCCTGAGGGGTCTTCAGCGCTGCGATACAAAGAGAGTTCAAAATAAGGTATGTATAGCATGAGATGTTGAGTGGTTTAAAATATCCCATATATATCCATAACAATACTGTATACTGTACTAAAAGTGAGGGAATATTGAACCCAAGGTCTCAACTATGTGTTTTAAAAGATAAGCATTTAGTTTAAAGAAAAAATTGAACCAGCATTTTATATAGTTTATAGATGGTTGAAGTTTAAAACTATATTCATTTAATAGGCAAGAGTACATTTTGACCGTAAACTTTTCTAAATATTTACAAAGTGTTATAATTATTATTTCTTTTTTCTTTTGAGAAGTTTGACAGGAATTGCCAAACTTGCAGCCCATTTAAATGGACCTCAAAAAGGCCTGTATGAGGAACGTAGCAAGGAAACAAGGAGTGAAGCAGTACAGTTTAAGAAACATCAGTACTCATAAATTCAAATTGGCTGCAGTAGCGCAAGACTTTTAAGAAATTACTGACCTTGTATTCCAAGATCAATAACTAATAATGCTACATCAGTTTTTCATCGATCAAATTCCAATATTAACTGACATCCTTGTCATATTGTTTGTCCATTACTAAAATTATTAAAAATTTTTAAACTAATTTTCACAATTATTTCAAACAAAAAAACTATGTTTACAATCTTATATTACAATGGTAGGGTTAAACGTAAGTTTCTTCGCCAAATGGAAAGAGACTTACGTGGCAAGATGCCTTGTGCGACCAGCTGGTTGATCGGCCGTCGCAACATCAGCTTCACTTTTAGTGCTGCAACAACACAATCAATTATTGGTACTGATTCAAAATACATTAGATGTTTAGTTTTAATCTATTTAAATTGTAGAAGTCAAAAATCACAAAAAACAATAAAGATGCTAAACCTTTCAGACACAGATTCAAATCTTATGATGTATGATCAATAACAAAATATGCTGTGGAAAAACCCATTTCTTCTTGTTTCTTCATCTTTAAAAATCATAATTGGTAACTAACCCTATTTGAAAATAAAATTTACTGTAAGCATAGCCTATATCGTGGTCTTCTCACTATGCCTATTTATACACAGGGTTGGTCTTTGCGTTAAAAATGAAATCGGCAGAGCCAAATGTTGAAAATGAATTTCATAATCTTAAAATGAAGAAACTTACACATAGAATAAGACTACAACTGCCCACACAGTTAAAGAATAGCTTTACAGTGGAACCTCGATAACAAGACTCTCGATAAAAAGTCACCATTGACAACAAGTGTCATTTTCAAATCACCTTGAATTTATTTGACCCTTAATTACAAAAAGTCACCCTTGATAACAAGTCTTATTTTATAATCCCATTGAGAGTCTACTTTATTATCATTGTAGCATAGTAGCAAATTAATTAATTTCAGTAGTATAATTAATTGTTTAGTTGAATAAGGTTACCTTGAGACTTGAGGTAAGGAAATAATTAGGCCTACTAAGTCAATTGAGGGAAGTGACTCGCTAAGTACTGTATAGCCATTGCTTTAGTCAAAGGTTTAGGCTACTTTCACTTAATTAAAATTTACAGTAGAACCTTGATAACAAGAATCTGGTAGTTTTTAGGGGTTATTAAATAAGAATTGTTAACAAACCTGACTTCTTATCTGGGTTTGCAATAACATGTGATTAGGGGTAAAATAAATTTAATGGGATTTGAACGTATTTGACAACACAGCTAATTTTGTTTATTCCACTCCTACCCTACTTAGCAATAGCTAGAGATAGTTTGCTGGTAAACAGCTTGCCAAGATTGTGAGACAGATAAGACTAACAAATTATTGATGTCCAACAACAATTCAATCTCCAGCAACAGGTATGCATGTTGGAGAGAGAAACGGTAAACCATCCGTATCATTAGTAGTCGTACAAAGATCGCATCTCAAGTCATTTACTCAGACGCCGAGTGTGAGACGTTAACACTGGTCCAGGAAGTCGAGTTACTCATCTGACCGAGATACGCTCGCCCATAAACTCGAAATAGATATGAACTTTGGGAAAACGCACGCGGGGGAGGGGAAAACAAAAACCGTGCCAAAAACAATCACGCGCGATATATATGCGAAAGTGCGCTAAACTTAGCGGCACTCTGGTAGAATTTGTCGCCGGAACTGGGCGGCGCGCGAGATTTACTATAACAACTTTCTATTTCCCTTAGCGACCCGAATCACTTTGCGGGTCTGCTTTTGCTCGTCTCAGATCACGCATATTTATTGTGCCATAAACCGTCCCAGCCCAATGATCGATGTAAATTTCCTGTCACAAAACAGAACAGAAGCCGGGTAAATTTGTGGCGTGTATTTCACCGCATCCTGTCCAGGAATAGTCTGCCGAGATGTTTAGTTAGTGGTTAGAGTCTATCTCCCAGTCAAGATACATTGTAATGATAAGACACGAAATCGCCATCAATTACGTCCTCATCACTGTCTCAATTCCTACCACTAACTGTTTGAGATAGCGACATGGTCACGCCGCCTAGCGGATTTGCTACAGCCACAGCGGCAGACATTGGTTTTAAAAAAATTACGAAAATCTAACTCTTTCCTGAAATTAATTATGAAGTGATTTATAGGATTTTCAATTTGATTGATATAGGAATCATCTTATGTATGTACAAAATGTGATTTGGTATATTTTTATTACTTGTAGGTTTAATAATATTATTTATTTTTTCAATAGTTATGTTTTTAGACGTGAAGCTAACCAAGCTAGCGTAAGACCCATTTCTGAATGTGTTACAAGATGCTAATGAAGTCCAATATATGAAGAAGAAAATTTCAGAAGATAAACTTCAGCAATTCAAAGGTTTGCCAGATTCCCTTGGCTTGTCTACAATTCTTTCACGAAGGACGAAGAAACCTCACAACACAGCTGCACACATTGCCCAGTCTGCACCCTCCAAACACCAACCCTCTCTGGCGGTCGTGATGACCTGCTGAGCTACAGAAATAGCCGCACCAGACACGGCAGAGTCTGCCAAAACTCGCCACTTGCTGCGAGGGTGGCTTAATGAACCGAGTAGTCTAATGTCTAATGGGGTAATGTGGTCAAACTGCCCGGGACCAACGCCATCTTGCCACTGCTCGCTGCAGAAACAAACATTGTTGCAAAGCGAGAGATCGATCAGCACTCGACAATGTATGCCAAATCATCACTGGCTCACTGGGAATTCAATGGCAAAATTTGTTCGGATTGTGCTATGACCACATCGCTTTAATTGGTGGTCTTTCCGATAGTTGGTTAGCAAGAGCCTAAGACAGCGAAGTGTACTTCTTCATTGAATGGATTTGAATTAATAGGTGAAACACCTCTCAGCTACCCAGCTAATGATAATATAGGAGGAAAATTCACCCCGCAACAAAGACTTTTAGGAGAAGCATTTCTTTAGATTCTAGCAGGCCTTAATCGCAGTTTCCAGTCCTAGACTTCGAAAGAGGGACATAAACGAGAGTATATTTACAGGAAAAACAAGAAACAAATTATGTTCCACAAGAATCTGACGAAAACTTTCTTCTTACAAAGAGGAATCGCGAGATAATTCTCATCAGTTAAGGAGTCGAAAACTAAAGGGAAAACAAGAAGGCCAACGAAATCATGAGAGAAACAAAATTCAAGCACCCATAATTGATTTAAGAATAGCAAGAAAGGCCTTGAAAAACGAATCCAAAGCGCATCAGTCTGAAAAAACAAAGCGATCATTATTTCACTTACCACCACGTGAAGCAGTCTACACCTGGGTACCAGACCGAGACATATTCCACCAACGCGGTTGAGGAAATGCTAATTAATCGCCCACCTCTGGAACGATTACTCAAACACCGACACAACACACAAGGACAAACTGACTGATTCATTACATGTGTAAACATTGGTGAGATTTGAGAGGGCGTGTTACTCAATGTAGGAGACATTAGAACCTGTGAATACCACAAGCTCAGAAACTGACCTGTTTGCCTACATTGTGTACGTCAGCAAGGCTCAACTCTCAGGTAAACATTCACCTGGGGACAACAGTAACCAATGCTTCTTTCGAATCACTTTACTAATTTTGCTAAGATTTTTAATGTTATTCATTGTTGATTTTTCAGCATACGCACTATAGTCTGTATGAAGGAACCTTTCTCTTGGTTCTTCGTTTATCTGGGACAGACACTATTAGCCAGTTCCCTGGTATACGGAGGAACAGGAGAAATGATACATCATACATACTATAACCAATCGCATAAGTTGAACATGATGTTACCATAAACAAATTCCAATTCCTCAATCCCATTACTAAACCAATACATTTATTCGCTCCTCGAGGAAGACACAGGTTTGCTGCTGCGGCGAAATTTTGTACAGCGGTCAACGAATTCCGCTGACGAGGAAGAGAAGGTAAGAATTGACCGTTGCTACAGTTCTCACGAACACACGTGGGTCAGATTACTAGTTGTGTTGTAGAACGGGGCCAGCGTAACTAAGCACTATCTACGTAGCGATGTAGACATACAACTACTTGGCAGCTTTAAAATCAGACTTAGGCACCACCAACATGATCCTGAGCTAGGAAGTCGTGTAATTGGCAGCTTTGCAACTTGGAAGCTTAAGATTGGATAGTAGTTATTGTAGTCAGCTATATAACTAAACGGCAAGCCGTTTAGCAAAAAAGCAATGCGCAGCGTACGTCCAAGGATACCGAGTTTTCTGCTGTCTCAATCCTAACTGTTGCATCAAAGATGAAAAGACCCCGACAAACTCATTAATATGTATGAATTGGCCTGTAATAATAAGGTGCAACAAAAATGAACAATAATAAAGTAAACCTATCCCAATGTTCAGGTGAACGTACGTTGCTAAGTATACAGTTCGGCAACAAAATAAGATACAACAATCAATTGAAAATAATTACCAAAAGTAAAATCAACAATAATTACCAGCAATCATGTTTCAATTTCCAACAATCTAACCAATACTATCATTGATCCCTAATGATTGCATATTGTGAGAGTTTGGCCAAAACTATGAAAAGCTTTATAGTTAACAAAGCCTAAAGTCTATAGTGGTTATGGTTAAAAAGTAACAAAAAAACATAACAATATTTTTTCCGTGTACCCTTAGTTTTGAAATAGATATTGAAAAACATATCCACTTGAGGATGAGCCCTCGCACATAGCCTACAGTACTTATATTTTATTGTACAAATTATTGAGTGATATGAGGATAGGCTACCACATACAGAATGTCCCCACAAATTTGACACTCTACTCAATTTCAAAGGTTCAATCTTGACTTCTTGACTTGGAATAAATATCAACAAAATGTACAATTAAAGTGAACCACAAATGTCACCAATTCCCTAAGCACAATATCAAACATCGCTCCTCATTTCCTAAAATATTTTAACTGACTAAAATATTCATAGTCAACAGGAAATTCCCAAATGGCCTGAGCAGTCCGCTACGCGCTTCGCTACCGGAGCCAATAGCGCGTCCGTAAACAACATTGCACCTTCTGTGACACACTGTCAGCTACAGAGGTAGGACTAAAAATACCGGCAACTGGGCCATCCATAGGCGATCTGGTCATTGATCACTGTCCGACAACTACAGCATTACAGGCCGGGTGTAGGGTGAAAAGAAAAACGAAAACAAAAATTAATAATAAAAAATCTTGTATGATTTTTTAAGGAGAAAATTCTCAAGTATAGATACAATTCTCATCTACGAAATCCATTTGTTTTTACTGTAGTTGGACCTGTATTAGTAGTTTT